ATCAAGTGAGAAAAGATAACGAAATGAAAGAAAACAACAATTTTCCTTCCAGAGCGAATCCAATTTCTGGGCTTTTACAAGGTTTTGTCGATGATCACCAAATACATTTCAGAAGCAATGACCAAGATGATGAGGGGTATGATAAATATGCTCAACTCTCTGTATTGGAAATTTTTGTCAGCTGTCCTGCGTACTCCTCTTGCCACAACTGTGGTAATAAACTTTTTCATACATAATGCATTACAATCTTTGTTTTTAGTTCATTTAAGACCTTCTAGATTGAATCATCACTGGATTAATATTATAATTAAAGAATAAGAAGGGGTTGTTGGCTAAAATACAACTGTTGCTGAGCTCATGAGAGCCTCTCCGATGAGGTGGAATCCTGGACCATCCCTTTTCACTGACATTTAGGATCCATGGCCTTTGGCTTAGAGTTGAAGTACATGGTGTGATATGTATGGTGGTCAATTTAGATCAGTTGCCTTTTTAGAATTTTCTCGTTGATGACTCTTTTTGTGTATATTTGTTGGTTTGTTAAATTAGTTGTGGTGCTGAAACCAACATAGTATAAGTGTCGTGATGGCTGATCTATTTACCTATCTAATAGTCACTTGCCTCACACTGGTTACAGGTAAGGATGGTGATTGATAAATTTGGTATTGCTGCTGTTCGAAATGCATGGTATGACCCAAATCGGGTGGATGAACATGTTATTGATGGTTATACAAAGGTAATCTCTCAGCAATGTCCTAATTTTTGGACATTGTCTGTCTTGTTCATTTCTATGTCTTGTAATCTGAAGTCAGTAATCACCTGGGTGGTGGTACTGAATGCAGCCATTGAGGACTAAAGATTGGGATAGGGCGCTGGTTGAATTCACAGCAGCAACGCTTCTGGATGAAGAATCTAAAACGAAGCCCCCAGTGACTCAAAGACTTCATCAGATATCCTGTCCTGGTGATGACAGTATTCATTATATATATAGGAGATCACGTTATCTAATTATGATTAACCAGTACAAGTATTGATTTAAATTTTGCATACCTAGTTGGCCCCTATATTTTAATTTTAGCTGGCTTGTCTAGGATATCATCATCATCATTTAAAGTTGATTTCCGGATAATTTTTTTGTTTTTCAAGCAGCTGCTTATTTTATTTCGTTTTGACAGACTTTATCATACAGTTTTTTACTTGAGCGTTTGACTACCCCTCTTTTCTTCTATAAATATATTTCATTATTATTTAATAAAACAAGTTCAGAATATCATTAAACCTTCTATTGCTATCTGTATATATATTTATATGTATGTATTTATTTATTTTTTTCTCTTTTTCCCAATATCTTGAGCTTTCCAAATAGCTGATCAGAGAAGTTAGCAAGTTGGATAGGATAAAGCCGTTTGTGATTGGTTGTATATCGTAATTTATGGTGGCAATGATAGGGTGGTCTGTTAATGCTTTGGGGATTTGCCAAGATTTATTTTTGCTTTCCTGTCAATCTTGTGGACAGTTGTGTGCAGACCTAAGATCAAATTGGGATTAGCGAGTTGGATTCGTAATTGCTTATCAATCTTCTGAGATATATTGTATTCTATATATGGGGCTAATCAAGTGGTTGCAGATTTGATTTCTATATTCACCTGTTATTTTTCAGTTCTTTGGGTTTTTAGGAGACTGGTTCTTGAAGGAGAATTTATGGTGAAATAATGAGTCTTTCTTTTTCATTTTTCTTTCTTTCTTTCTGTTTTAAGTGACAACTTATTCCATTCTACTTTATGTTGAGTTAAATACTGAGCATGGTTGATGATATTTTTTTAATTAAAAAACAGTTCTGATCATCACTGGTGATAACGACCGAGTTGTTCCTTCATGGAATGCTGAAAGACTCGCACGAGTCATTCCAGGATCAACCCTTGAAGTCATTAAACAATGTGGCCATTTGCCCCATGAAGAAAAGTTGAGGAGTTTATGGCTGCAGTGGAGAAGTTCCTGCAGAGATTAGTTGGTGCTAATTCAAGTGATTTAATTTAACCCCCCGGTTAAAATCAGTCCACGGCAGTTACACATTCCGCGGCGATTGTTTTAATAACCATTGTGAAAAGTTAACCGTCATCCTCTTTATTTATAAAAATATCACTGTTTTTTTTTTTTTACTGCGTTTTTTTCTTTTCAACTGCCTTGTTTCTTTAATGTTACATGTTTTTGTTTTTTGGTAGTAGAGACATCTGTATGTTAAGGTTAAAAAATTACAGACGGGAAGAATTGATGAGTTGGATTTATTTTTAAGGTCTTAAGAGATAATGGGCAATCAAATCATGTTGTGATGACTCTTAAATGTGTAAAAAATTGTGATTGATCTTTCCGTATTTAAAAAAAATGGAAATAATTTTTGAAGAGATTAAATAAAATCTGAAGGTGTCAGCAATTTTTGTTTAGTGAAGCATAATTTCGACATTGTCATCACGTTAGTTGAGACCTTGCAGTTAAATTATTTTATTCCACCATACTCTATTGTCGCTTCTTTGGCTATGTGTTAAAAAAAAAAAAAAAAATTGGTCTACTGACCATATTTTGAAAGAAGTAAAACTAACCTTTTAAGAGATAAAATAAATTTTGAAGTTGCCAATTATATATGAAATATGTAACAAAGGATAGGAAAGGAGATAAAATTGGTCATGTACCAAGTTCATCTTAAATTTGAATGAATCATTAATGGTTGAGAAATAGTATTTTTTTCATGTTTCTTTATTATAATTATATTCAAGATGTTTAAGTAAGGGAAAATTGTAAAAAAAAGATCACTAAAATAAAAAAATCACAAATAGGAACACATTACAACATTATAATGGGTTTTGACAATAATAGTATAAGTTTTGATAACAATTTTTATAAACGGGTCTTTGTCTATAATTTTTAATTCTGACGGTCTTTTTTTCATGACTTTTCTTTTAACTAACATGTTTATTTATTATAATTTAATTTGAGCTAATATAAATCCAGCTATAATAATCAGATAAAGCGTGAATGGAAGGGCAGATGATTGAGTTATTAACTGGTAGGAGGGGAAACTCCAGTCCCCACTGGTATTCCTGTCCTATTCTCTTTCCTCTACCATTTATATGGATCAGATTTAATTTTATACGAAATTTTTTTTTAGAAATTTTTTTTATTGTAGTATTACATTATTCATATCAAAATCGAGCCATTTAAAATTAATTAATTATTTTTAATTTTTAATTTAATATTTTGATATTAGTTTTATAAAAAATTAAATCTAAGCTATTTAAATATTAATCTTATGGTCATAAAAAAAGAAAGAGGATGAGAAGGGAACAGAAAAAATTCTTCTAGATAAGATATACCACCTCCAGACCTCGTATGCTTTATAATTAGGATAGGAGGAAATATATATCCTATATATATATATGCAATGGTGCTTCAAAGTACTGTCATTTAATTTATGACGAAGGTCCCTCTACTACGAGATTGGACGTGGGACATGATTTATGCCTTTTCAGCTACTTGGTTCTCACATCATCAATTTGGGTAGGAGAAATAAGGGCCACCCATTCCAACCCCACATTTATCAAGCAGGCGCATTAATATTGTGTGATCTAGCTGTATACTACGTCCATATAAGATTTAAGTAATTAATTTGAAATTATTAAAAAAATTAATTAAATTATTTATTTCTCACAAAAACCTATTGATCTACTTGAAATATCATTTTAAATATTACATGCATTTGAATTATTAGAATTATCTCATAGTATGGTATTAGAAACTCCTTATAATAAATATGGATATTTTTTAGAAAGATGTGAAATAAAATAAATTGAGATAATATATTTAAGACTAAATTTTATCCCAACTAACTCTTATATTAAAAAATAGAGATAATATATAATAATAGAATAATTAATTATACATGTAATCTAACTCTTAAATTTAAAATATTTTAAATTGATCTTAATTTATAAAGAGAAGAGACAACAATCTTTCTCAAGTATTCCTGTAATCCTATTTATAAGCTACTTTAACATATTTCACATAAACCAAGAAAAATCTTAAATTTTATTAATTTTCATTGAAAGCTCAACAACTTTTAAAATTTTTTTTTGGGTCAAAACAACTTTTAAATTTTATCTTTATTTAACATATATTATACCTCATGTAATAAACTCAATATAATAATAAATAGAGAATAAAATTACATATCTATAGAAATTTTTTTTAAATCTTGTAAATAAGACAAAAAAATATCTCCCGTGAACGGAGCCAAAGGAGTATATAGACGATACCCAGGAACACATAGGGTCCATTTGGATCAGCGATTGAAAAAGCAGCTTATTGAAAAAGTAGTTTATGGAAAAGTGAAATTGGGTAAAAGTTAAATTGGATAAACTGAATTGTGTTTGGATTGGAGTTCAGAAAAGTTAGCTTGTAAAAGTGAGATTGGTAAAAGGTTATTTAGATTATGATTGAGTAAAAGTAAGTTTGATTGTAAAATGACCAAAATAGATGAGTTTTAATAAATAACAAAACATGATTAAAAAATGATTTCACATAATATAATGAAATTAAAATAATTTAATATGAAGAAGTCATAAAAAATATTTTACATATAAAGTGAAACGTGAAAAAATAAAAGTATATTTTTAGGAGTATATTTAAAAATAAAAGTATACTTCTAACTTATTTATTACTTTCAACTAATTTTAACTGATTTTTTATTATCTACAAATTAGTTATTTGAGGCTTATAATAAGAACCAAATGAGGTAATAAATTTCTTAACTTTTTCTCTCTCCATATTTCAAAAGTCATAAGTCATAAGCTATAAGTCATAAACTGTTAATTTTAGCTTATAACTTATTACAGCTTTTTATACAGAAGCCCGATTACAAAAAAACCCAACCAAACACTCAAAATTTTCCAATCGAGCTTATAATGAAAATAAACTGTTTATAAGTGATGCCAAACAGGCACGTAATTGCATATTTGCACCACGCTCCTTAATTACCTGCTGTGCACCTTGATTATCATCAGCTTCCTAATTCTCACACTCCGTTTTAATTTCAACCTCTTTCCGATATCTGAGATCTATTGTAACACCTTCGTCCTCCTTCCTCTCCCTGTTTCCCTTTCTGTATACATCTCAAGCTCTCGCCCTCTCCCCTATCCGAATTCTCATAATCCTTTCACATAGATTTCATCGATCACTCGCAAGATTTCTGTAATTTTAATATCCCATCGAGCACTATGATAAAGAAATCGCAGCTCGTGTTTGTGCCTCTTCCTGCCATAGGTCACATGGTGTCCACCATCGAGTTCGCCAAGCTTCTCATCAAACACAACGAACACCTTTCAATCACCGTCCTCCTGATCCAAGCACCGTTTGACTCTGCCGTCCACTCCTACACACACTCCCTCACCTCTTCACTTTCCGTCCCTGAACGTCTCCGCTTCATCCTCCTTCCTACACACCGCGACCCTCATGCCAACTCTGATCAGTCCAGCCACCCAGCTTCCTTCATAGAGCGTCTCATTGAAAGCCACAAACCCAGCATCAGAGAAGCTGTGTCCAACCTCAAATCCGGCCCCGACGCGATCCGGCTCGCCGGCTTCGTCGTGGACATGTTCTGCACCTCCATGATTGAGGTGGCCAACGAGTTCGGGGTTCCCACCATGGTGTTCTTTGCGGCCAGTGCTGCATTTCTAGGGTTCATTCTTCATATTCACGCGATCAGGGACCGGGAAAACGTGGACACGACGGCGTTGAACTTCAAGGAATCGGGCACCCAGTTTGCTATCCCAAGCTTCGCGAACCTTGTTCCTGCTAGTGTTTTCCCCACGGCTGTCCTGGAGAAGGAGTGGGATTCATTTTTCTTCAATCGCGCAAAGGAGCTGAGAAAAGTGAAATGTATCATAGTAAACACATTCGAGGAACTGGAATCCCACGCTGTCCAGTCATTCTCCAACGGCGATCTTCCTAAGGTCTATCCGGTGGGGCCCATCTTAAGCTTAGGGGAGGACAGGTTCAGCAAGATGGTTCAAGAAGGATCGGACGTGCTAGCGTGGCTCAATGATCAACCTCCTTCGTCGGTTTTATTCATGTGTTTCGGGAGTCGGGGTTATTTTGAGGACGGTGATCAGGTGAGGGAAATCGCACGGGCTCTTGAGAGAAGTGGGGTCCACTTCTTGTGGTCTCTACGGAAACCGCCACCCGACACAGTGACGGCGCCCGGGGTTTACGCTTACCCTGACCTGGCAGAAGTATTACCGGAGGGGTTTCTTGAGCGCACGGCCGGGACTGGGAGAGTAATAGGATGGGCTCCGCAGGCCCAAATCCTGGTACACGAGGCGGTGGGAGGATTCGTATCCCACTGTGGGTGGAATTCGGTACTGGAGAGTATATATTACGGGGTGCCCATAGCCACGTGGCCGCTGTTCGCGGACCAAGAAATGAATGCGTTCGAAGTGGTGCGGGAGTTGAAATTGGGTGTGGAGGTCTCCTTAGATTATAGAATGGGGTTCGAGAATAGGGGGAAATCAGGTGTGGTGAGTGCAGAGAGAATAGAGAAAGGGATGAAGGAAGTGATGGAGGAGGAGAGCGAGCTGAGGAAGAAGCTGAAGGAGATGAGTCAGTTGAGTAGGAAGGCTGTAATGGAGGGTGGATCTTCGTACACGTATTTGGGACGCTTTATTGATGAAGACGTCCTTAATTAATTGAGGGCCTGCTTGGGCATGGTTTGGGGGGAAAAAATTGCCAAGCAGAAGATAAAATTGACAAACCATGATTTGGGATCAAAACTATGATTTCAAAAGAAATAAATCTATTCTGCTTCTAGTTCAAATTATAGAGTATAATTATATCTGTCAGAGTAGATTTTAATAATAATATGATTTTAATACCCTTCAATTATTTTTTATAAACATATTTAATCTTATATTTTATAAATATATATAAATAGTAATTATTTATTAATTACTACCTCTGGTCCTTAATATAAGACCCCGTTTGACTTTTTGTTTGGTCTTAATTATAAGACCCCAATCCATTTTATCTCTCATATTTATGTATTTTTTTCCAAGATAGTCCTTCTAATAATGATAGTTCTAGCCAATACACTTAATTAGCAAGAATATTTTAGGAATGACAACACTTATTTATTACAAATAACTAACTTAACTTACTTCCTTAATCTCCTCAAATAAGTCAATTGGATCTTATAATTAGGACCGGAGGTAGTATATTATATGTCATTAATTATGTTGGTAAAAAATATATTATTAACAATTTTATTTTTCAAATTAAAATATATTATAAAATCCATCTTTTATGTAATTATCATATTAATTTATACTTTTTTTAGTAATTAGCATATATAAAAAGTGTTTTTTATAACAGCTATCTAAATACTCTCACTTTATCAAAATTATTTTTTCATAAAATATATTTTTACAAAATCTATTTTTCTTAAAAGTGATTTTCTAAAAACTATTCTCCAAATCATAATTTAGTTTCTTTCAAACACTCTCAGAAACTCATGCCTGCCACCACGTGGCTTTAGATGGAAGAGGTCAGCAAGAGAGGAAGCCGGTGTTCTGGAATTCTCCGAGCTTAAGTGGATGGAAATGGAAGACATGAAAGTGGGTGCATCAGTCATCAGAAAAAGCTACTTTCACACTTCACAAACACAAACACATCAGTTTTGCTCAAAAAAAAAAAAAAACACAAAACACATCAAACAATCAATTGCTCCGTCCTGTTCACAAAGCTTCCCCCCCGGGTTAAAACCTGTATTAGTCTGATAATAATATATGATCAAAATTAATTACTCTTCCGATCCTTAATATAAGACCTATTTAACTAATTTGATTAGATTAAGGAATTTAGGTAAGTTAGTTAATTACAAGAAAAGTAACACATTTTTTCTAAAATACCATAATCATCTTTCTTAATACCATATCTCTCTCTTCTACTTGATTATGGTTAAGGAAGTATCCATAGGGGTAATTTAGAGAAAATTAATAAATATGATAAATGGGTCTTACATTTAGAACCAAAACCAATTCAAAAATTGGATCCTATATTAAAGACCGGAGGAGTATTATTTTTAGAGACCTGAAGAAAGAAACCAAAACATCGTAACTAGTGTCTTACAAATCGTTGCACTATTTCAGTAGTTATTATGTTTATAATACAAATCCAATATTATACCTAAAAATTTAATTTTACTTGCACACGAAATGAATAAAAATAAAAAGTTGGCCAAAAATTGGTAAATAATAAGAGGATAGAATATACATTTAGTCTTTTAGTTTTGTACAAGATTTCAATTTGGTCCTTTAACTTTAAAAAGTATATTTTCAATCCTTTAGCCTTAATTTTTTTTTGAAAACATGATGATATTAAGATCTTAAATGTTGATAAAATATTCTCAAATGCTAATATATTAAACTTAGTTTTCAAAATATCCATGATTGTTACAAAAAAATCATCATTAAAGTCTAATAATTTTAGAGTTAAAATATCATATATATGTTTTTTAAAGTTAAAGAACCAAATTAAAATTTTGTACAAAGTTAAAAGCCAAAAAATTATGGGATTTCATGTTTCAGATCATTAAGAAATAATAATATATTTTTTATTGGCAAAATAAATCATTTTCCAAAAAACATATTTAATTACTTTGTAAATATATATACATTAATTATTTATTATTTATATTATTATGTCTTATTTATTATGTTGCCAAAATATATATTATTAACAAATTTATTACTTCAAATAAACATATATTATGAAATATATCTTATATATAATTATCATTTAAACTTATGTCCTTTTTAGTAATTTCTACATATAAAAAAGCACTTTTGACAACAACTATCCAAACACTCTCACTTTATCATAATTACTTTTTCAAAAAATCTATTCTTTCAAAATCTATTCTCTTCATAATCTATTCTTCAGAAGAAGACAACCCCCTTCCACGGAGAGTTGAAAATTGGGGGGGTTAATTAATGCAAAGGAAAAGAAGGGGCGAGAGATGACTGAAGGGAAATAGGATAAGGCGTAGGTAGTGAAAAGTTGGGCAATTGACCAAGAGAAGAATATCTGGGGGAGGAGTAGTAAATAATGGAAGAGAAAGAAGGGGAGAAGGTACAGATGGAAGTGGAAAATGGGTGATGGGCGGTGGAAAATCAGACGTGGGGATATTATATATATCATCATTCAGGTTATTTCTTTCAAGCCAGAGCAAGAGAGAGTGGGAGAGAAAGAGAGCGAGAGAAGAGAAAGAGAGAGCGAGAGGAAGAAAGAAAATCAAGAGAGTGGAAATACATGCCGTTTGGAAGATAAGGAAAGTTTTGATGATCATTTAGGTACACAAAACTACTTCTTTTTTGTTAAATTCTCTTTATGAATATTTTCTATATATTTAGAGCTTTATATTATTAGTATCATTATAATGTTTGGAGAAAATTTTACTGTTTCGGCACAAAGTAAATATAGAATTTTGATAACATTTGACCATTGAAATTTAAAAATACATTATTAAGAAATTTTAATTGGTTTATATTTATTTATTGATGGTTTTGGGAATTTTAAATTAAGATTTTAGTTGAAAAAGTTGTTATTCAATACTTATAGAATTTTTACCGATTAAATTTAAGTTAAATAATTTATTTGAGTTATTTAATATATTATTAAGATTTTAATCAGTTAGAATATTGAGTATGTCAAAGATATATTGTTGAAATAATTTTTTGGAAATATAAAGAATTGTAAATTGAAAATTTTATAAAAATTAAAATTTATTTATACTTCAAAGGAGTTCCTTGGCTGAGGAAAAATTTTAAATGGGACTATAATAAATAGTTGAGATTTTAATATAAAATATTTATATTGTAAGAAATATATATTTATTTAAGTTATTAAATTTAAATAGTCTTATATGTAAATTATATTTTCAAAATATTTGGGAGAGTTAATATGTTTATGTATTTTTGGTTTAGAGGGTAGTCTTAGAATTTTAGAGTAATTTTGGAATAATTTCGTGTTTTATATTAATAAATATTTATGTGCAATTTTGTAAACCCTTGAGAATTTTTTAGTAATTTTTGTGTGAATAATTGTAAGCTAAAGAGTACCAGGTAACTCTGAAAATTCTTTCTTGTACAGGTGAATTGTGTATGATTATATAGTAAATTTACTAATTTTTATATTATTGAAATATAGTATTATGAATTTTTAAAAATAAATGTTTTGGTATGTTACCTGATTTTATTAAGATTTATTGCTAGCAATTATGATCGATATTTAAATATATTAATAGCTATGAAATTATCATGAGTTACTGTTAAATGGTGTATGAATTTTATTGCTATCTTATTTTTAATAATATATTTGAGAATATATTTATGATGTACCATTATTTGCATATGACATGCATTGTTGGGTTAAGAATAGAAGGAGATTGCATGGATATAAATTACCACGTGGTATGCCATCACTCGGTGCACAGTGGATGACACTTGTCAGGGCCCATTCTTCCATGTTTTCCTTTGGCTGGGAATTAATTGGAGCTGTGAGACATGTGACACCTCCCTATTCACAAAGGAGGGGAGCCATAGTCCGAGTTTGAGCTCTATATCTTTGGCCGGATATATCTCTGGTATCGGTGAGCTTGGAATAATTCAGTAAAATGGATTAGTTCCTATCGGATTATATGTTAGCCTATGGCTCCAGTCAACGGTATAAGGGTGGACGATGATATAAGAGAGGCAACATATTGCATTACTTTTGGAAATATTGATAAAAATAAAATTGAGTTGAATGTATAAAATCCGCAATTTTTAATATATTTATATACACACATAAAAACATATTTTTGGTTTATCATATATGATTTGCCTGTATAAGTTAGAATTTCAGTAGTTACTGAGATGTTTGATCTCACCCCCTTATATTAACAATTTTTCAGGCGAAGGATCTAGTAAAAATCAAGGGAAGGCACCAATAGAGTGAGTCGTGAAGGCCTTTGTGCTCCTCAAGCACATGCTATGTTATATTTACATTTGCCATGACTATAAGACTTTAATAGCTTTTTGTTGTTATCTCAAAAATATTTTGAAATTATGACTTGTTTGAAGTATTAGAAATACATATGAACTTTGAAATGAAGTATTTATCGCGTATATGGATATGATTATGTGAGGTGTTATATTGGAAAACCATTGCTTTTCATATTATGTTTAGAGGGTGTTTGGATGAAATCAAATTATAATTTGGAAAATAGTTTCTGAAGAATAAATTCTTGAGAGAATAAATTCTATGAAGAATAAATTTTGTGAAAAAGTGGTTCTGATAAAATAAAAATATTTGGATAATTGTTATCAAATACACTTTTTATATGTGCAAATTACTAAAAAAAACATAGGTTAATATGATAATTATATAAAAGATAGATTTTATAATATATTTTAGGGTTAAGGTGCAATTTTAACAATAAAGTTTACCCTAAAGAGCACTGGGCACCATAAAGTTTATTTGGGTACAAAAATATACATGAAGTTGTCAAAAGAGAGCATCTGGCACCATGCCATTAACGTTCATCAGTTTACCGTTAGAGGGGCCCAGATTAGTTTTAAGGTGCATTTTTAACAACAAAGTTTGCATTAAGGGGCATTAGGCACCATGAAATTTACTTGGGTGTAAAAATATACATGAACTTTGTAAAAGGAAAAAAATAACAAAATTCTCCAACCTCCATAAACATCCATTAAATTTATTCTTTTCGGTCTCACCAAATGCTATATTTTCTCTCTATAAATTTCCACTTCCAAGCCGATCCATCTTTCTCTCATCATAGTCAACACGTACACTCTCTCTGTCATGTTGTTTTCTGAGCCTCCAAGCCTTTTATATGTATTTAAGCAAAACACATCTTTCCCTTCTAGGATGTGAGGTTCATTATTTGCACCCGAGTACTACCTCCAGTCCTTAATATAGGATCTAATGGACTAATTTGAGGAGATTAAAATAAATAAATAAATTACTTTAAATATTATATTATTTATTTATTTGACTCAATAGCATGTATTACATGATCTCTCTAAAATATTTTTATGCATCATTAAATTATATATTAGTTTACAAGCCAAGAAAATTAATTTGGAGAAAAAACAAGAAATATAATATTTTAAAGTAATTTATTTATTTATTTTTAATCTCCTCAAATTAGTCCATTGCATCCTATATTAAGGACTGGAGGTAGTACTTGGATGCAAGCAATAAACCTCATATCCTAGAAGAAAAAGATGTGTTTTGCTTAAATACATATAAAAGGTTTGGAGGCTCAGAAAACAATATGATAGAGAGAGTGTGCGTGTTGATTATGATGAGAAAAAGATGGATCGGCTTGGAAGTGGAAATTTATAGAGAGAAAATATAGCATTTGGTGAGACCGAAAAGAATAAAATTAATGGATGTTTATGGAGGTTGAAGAATTTTGTTATTTTTTTTCCTTTTACAAAGTTCATGTATATTTTTACCCCCAAGTAAATTTCATGGTGCCTAATGCCCCTTGATGCAAATTTTGTTGTTAAAAATGCACCTTAAAACTAACTTTCTGGACCCCTCTAATGGTAAACTGACGGACGTTAACGGCATGGTGCCAGATGCTCCGTTTTGACAACTTCATGTATATTTTTGCACCCAAATAAACTTTATGGTGCCCAGTGCTCCTTAGCGTAAACTTTGTTGTTAAAATTGCACCTTAACCCTATATTTTAATTTGAAGAAATGAAATTATTAATAATATATTTTTTACCAACATAATTAATGATATACTACCTTCAGTCCTAATTATAAGACCTAGTTGACTAATTTGAGGAGATTAAGAAAGTAAGTTAAGTTAGTTCTTTATAATAAATAGGTGGTCTTTCCTAAAATATCATTCTTGATCAAGTATATTGGCTAGAACTACCATTACTAGAAGAACTATCTTAGGAAAAATGTATAAATATGAGAGACAAAGTAAATTGAGGTCTTATATTTGGGAGCAAAATAAAAGTCAAACAAGATTTTATATTAAGGGCTGGAGGTAGTATAAGATAATGTAATTAATAAATAATTAATGTGTGTATATTTTATAAAATATAAGATTAAATATGTTTATAAAAAAATAATTGAGGGATGTTAAAGTCATATTATTATTGAGATCTATTCTAACAGGCATAATCATACTCTCCAATTTGAGCTAGAAGCAGAATGAGTTTACTTTTTTTGAAACCATGGTTTATTAATTTTTTTCCCTGTATGGCAAATATGGATCCAAATCATGATTTTCTATGTTACTTAATCAGGCCCTTAGTAATTGGCACGGAACAAATTGGATTACTACAAAATACTTCCATATTTACAAAACCTAAATTTTTCATCTTTTATTTTCTTTCTAGGGGTTAAAGGACAAATCTATCCTGAAAAAAAAAGGTCATTATATGCCATTAAAAAAAACCGAGTCAGCCAATGAAAAAGAGTATTTCCTTCTCTCTTTTGCTTCCTGATTTGACCGAATGCCCTGATCTGCGTATTGTCCGAGGACTGTGACCTGGTTGTGTTTGGGCCAAGACTATGATGATCTGTCCAAACCAACTAATGGGGATCACCTTCCTGACCCAGGCATATTAACGTGAATCACGGATCACCTTTATTTTTCCTTTTTTTCGGTTTCAATTAAATTGCAACAAGTTTAGTTAAAAGAACTCGTTCCTTACAACCTGATAAATAAAAATTTGAATTTTTATTAAGAGATATTAATATTTAATATCTAACAGTACTTCAAACATGATTGTTTATTAATAAAAAATAACCGCGCTTAGCATAAAAAAAGTTGCATGACAATTTTAATGTTAATTTTCTCCTTTAAAATATTATATGGAAAATATAATTTTGTTTCCTTTTTTTTTTTTAATTCGGGACAGTAGGAGATATGTATTTTTAATTTTCATTAGAGAGATATTTGTATTTTTGCTATTCCAGTTTGTGAAATTATACTACCTATGGTCTTTAATATAAGAATTCATTTGATTTTTATTTTGGTTTTAAACGTAAGACTTAATCAATTGTCTCTTATATTTATATATTTTTTCTTAAAATAATTCTTATAATAATAATAGTTCTATTCGATATACTTAGTTAGTAAAACTATTTTAAAAAAATAATACTTATTTATTATAAATAACTAATTTAATTGATTAATTAATTTTTATACTAAGTATCAGAGTTATTATTATTTGTCTGTTGTTGTAGAAGATTAAAAACTATTGTCATCTGCTGGTATAAAGAACTGATGTTACTGTCTTTTTCGACTGCAATAATTAATCGTACTGAGAATTGGAATTAAAAAAAAAAACTAATTTAAGGGTAAGGTCTTCCGACCGGTTGTTATTTATTGACGGCCTCGAATTGTCCTATGGATTATAAATTATAAATTTTTATCCACACAGATGAAGACTGAGGACTGAAGAAGACCAGACTAGCGTCTTTGTTGTTCTTCATCAACGTCCGCCCGAGCTTCTAAGTTTCCCCGCAATCAGATGACCAAAGTATCGGTGTTTCATCAGCAATGGGCACTTCCTTTCTCTATTCGGCCTTTGCGCAAGTTTCCTTCTTGTTTGGTTCATTCTCGTCTCAAATTTGGTTTGGGTGATGCTGAGTATCCTACTCTTACGACTACCTTTGTTGCTTCCGCTTCTTCAGCTCCTTTAGTTAGTGGCTCAGGAGCCGAAAGTTCTGGTAATTTTTATGCTTTTAGCTCTATTGAGTCTGTTATTTGCGTGCGTGTTTTGTAGAATTTTTGTTTGTCAATAGTTTTCCCACATTCCTACCAGCGCAAGGCGAAATTATGTAAAATACCATGTTAGGCTTCTATCAAATGTACTCTAGTTAGGATCATCGCTTTAGAACTCAGAATTGTTTCTTCGATTAAAAGTCCACAGTCTTTAATAAGAAACGGCTCAAAGCTGACTTGGTTACACTTGTGCAGTTATGCTGCCTATATAATTTGCGCTTGGTTCTATTCTCACCTAACATCTCACACGATTCATCCAATCAGTGCGCACTAGAATTCCATCATGTGTCCGCACGAGCTATGAAATACGACAACACCTACTTTCAGGGTGTTAGCATGTTAGCCTCTGAGTCTCTCTGACAATGCCACTGCTGACGCCTGTTAGCACATCTTAGTTTGCATTGAAGAGAACTGTCTTCCCCAAGCTCATCGTAGATATATTCTCTCCTTTCATTTTCATGGCTTTGGTGAGAAAAATAGGAGGAGAACAAGGCCTGGTAAAAATGCACCATTCTAGCACGTGTTGAAATTTGTTGAAGTCCAATGATTGAAGTTTCAGCAATTATTTTTTGGAGTAACTTTACAGTTCTTTATGTTTTTTCTATCAAGATCTTCAATAAAGATATGATATAGATTTTGTAAGACAGTTATCTTTATCAGATAAGCAAAGTTTTTCAGACATTTATGAGTTGGTGTTTTATGCTTTCTGTTCGCGAACTAAACATTAGGTTCTTTGTCTTGTTATGGGGGCATGCATTATCCTCAATTTGCGTGTATACTCCATCCTTTATCGTAGTCTTCTCTTATCAATAAAAGATGGATATGGAGCAATGACTAAAAAGCAGCACCTTCCTCATTTTCTTTATCTTATAGGAATGTACTTGGAGGTGGATTACTTACTACTGTTTATCTTGTTTTGGTCAAGTGTGTATTGTTGCAATGTGGCTTTTTTATAGCATTTTATGTTGAACCTCCTTTCCTCAGGGCCATTGTTGGATACCGCAACAAAGAAGAAAAGGAAGGGGATAGCTGGCATAGATCAAGATGAATTAGTAGATCCAAAGCTTTTAGCTGATCCAGACAGTTGTTTTTGTGAGTTCAAAGGCGTACACATACACCATAAGATATATGATGGGGAATCTCAAGCGCATAGCATGTTCCAGAATCAGACTCTTTCCCAGCTCCCTCATAAAACTAAGGGGCTAGGTTTTCCTATGATTCTGTTGCATGGCTTTGGAGCATCAGTTTTCTCATGGAAAAAGGTTATGAAGCTTTTAGCTGAGGTTTCTGGTTCAAAAGTTCTTGCTTTTGACAGGCCAGCCTTTGGATTGACATCGAGAGTGAATTTTTCTTCAGGAACTGATGTCTCAAAATCTTTAAATCCATACTCAATGGTGTTTTCAGTGCTTGCTACCTTGTACTTCATTGATCTATTAAATGCTGACAAGGCGATCCTGGTGGGGTATGTGAATGTCTAATGAATAATCTGTTTGGGAGAGTGACTTTGTATTGAGGTAGCAGGTGATATCCATTTAAAAAAGAAAATCATACTTTCCATCGTTGCCCTGACATGATGCAAACTTAATAGGAAATCATATATTGCAATCCTGCACCCACATGTCTTGCATTTGTTATTTATCTGACAATCCTAGTTGCTTTATGGAAGAGTTGCTTTATTAAAATGAAGGTGATTTCATTGGTCTCAGGCATCTAATTAATAACTTTGTGTTTCACCACTTGAGAATGGTAGTCGAGTATAGGGGTTCCAGGATTGCTTATTTGGATGTGTCTGGCAGAAAATAAGTTGTGATACTTTTTTTGGGCTTTGTTTTCTTTGTATCGTACCTTTTTCCTGCTGAGGTCAGAGACCATAGTTTTCTTTTGAAGCTAATATTTTCTCAAAATGACATGTCAGGCACTCAGCTGGATCACTTGTAGCAGTTAATACATATTTTGAAGCTCCTGAACGCATTGCTGCTCTAATTCTTATTGCCCCAGCAATTTTAGCCCCGCTTAGCGTACCTAGAATTGCTGAGAGAAATCAAGTGAGAAAAGATAACGAAATGAAAGAAAACAACAATTTTCCTACCAGAGCAAATCCAATTTCTGGGCTTTACAAGGTTTTGTCCATGATCACCAAATACATTTCAGAAGCAATAACCAAGATGATGAAGGGGATGATAAATATGCTCAACTCTCTGTATAGGAAATTTTTGTCAGCCGTCCTGCATACTGCTCTTGCCACAACTGTGGTAATAAACTTTTTCATACATAATGCATTATAATCTTTGTTTTTAGTTCATTTAAGACCTTCTCAGTTGAATCATCACTGGATTAATATTATAATTAAAGAATGAGAAGGGGCTGTTGGCTAAAATACAACTGTTGCCGGGCTCATGAGAGCCTTTCCAATGAGGTGGAATCCTGCACCATCCCTTTTCACTGACCTTTAGGATCCATGGCCTTCGGCTTAGAGTTGAAGTACATGGTGTGATATGTATGATGGTCAATTTAGATCAGTTGCCTTTTTAGGATTTTCTTGTTGGATGACTCTTTTTGTGTATATTTGTTGGTTTGTTAAATCAGCTGTGGTGCTGAAACCAACATAATATAAGTGTCGTGATGGCTGATCTATTTACCTATTTAATAGTCACTTACGTTGCATTGGCTACAGGTAAGGATGGTGATTGATAAATTTGGTATTGCTGCTGTTCGAAATGCATGGTATGATCCAAATCGGGTGGATGAACATGTTATTGATGGTTATACAAAGGTAATCTCTCAGCAATGTCCTAATTTTTGGACATTGTCTGTCTTGTTCTTTTCTATGTCTTGTAATCTGAAGTCAGTAATCACCTGGGCGGTGGTACTGAATGCAGCCATTGAGGACTAAAGATTGGGATAGGGCGCTGGTTGAATTCACAGCAGCAACGCTTCTGGATGAGGAATCTAAAACAAAGCCCCCAGTGACTCAAAGACTTCATCAGATATCCTGTCCTGGTGATGACAGTATTTCATTATATATATAGGAGATCACATTATCTAATTATGATTGAATTTTTTTATACCTAGTTGGCCCCTATATTTTAGTTTTAGCTGGCTTGTCTAGGATATCATCATCATCATTTAAAGTTGATTTCTGGATAATGTTTTTGTTTTTCAAATATCTGCTTATTTTATTTCGTTTTAACAGACTTATCATATAGTTATTTCCTTGAGCGTTTGACTACCCCTCATTTCTTCTATAAATATATTTCATTATTATTTAATAAAACAAGTTCAGAATGTCATTAAACTTTGTATTTCTATCTGTATATATATTTATATGTATGTACTTATTTATTTTTTCTCTTTTCCCGATATCTTGAGCTTTCCAAATAGCTGATCAGAGAAGTTAGCAAACTGGATAGGAGAAAGCCATTTATGATTGGTTGTATATAGTAATTTATGGTGGCAATGAATAGGTTGATCTGTTAATGCTTTATTTTTGTTTTCCGATCAATCTTGTGGACAGTTGTGTGAAGACTTAAGATCAAATTGGGATTAGCGAGTTGGATTCGTAATTGCTTATCGACCTTCCAAGATATATTGTGTTCTATGTATTGGGCTAATCAAGTGGTTGCAAATTTGATTTCTAGATTCACCTGTTATTTTTCAGTTCTTTGGGTTTTTAGGAGGCTGGTTCTTGAAGGAGAATTTATGGTGAAATAATGAGTCTTTCTTTTTCATTTTTCTTTCTTTCTTTCTGTTTTAAGTAACAACCTATTCCATTCTACTTTATGCTGAGTTTAATACTGAGCATGATTGATGATATTTTTTTAATTAAAAAACAGTTCTGATCATCACTGGTGATAATGACCGACTTGTTCCTTCATGGAATGCTGAAAGACTTGCACGAGTCATTCCAGGATCAACCCTTGAAGTAATTAAACAATGTGGCCATTTGCCCCATGAAGAAAAAGTTGAGGAGTTTATGGCTGCAGTGGAGAAGTTCCTGCAGAGATTAGTTGGTGCTAATTCAAGTGAGCAAAACCTTCAATATGCAAAATGAAATTTCGCCCACTGAAGCTTCAATTTTCCTCCTTTGAAGATCTATAGAATGTTGGGGAACAAAGCAGATTGATTATGCCATCGGATCGCAGTAAACTCGTTGAATTCATTTGTTATGATTACTGCTCATACTAAATCCAGCAATCATGATGATCTTTGTACAGCTAGTGATAAGTTTGGGTTGGGGAAACTTGTGTATAAGCGGGAAAAAAAGAAGGAAAATGTAACTTCCACCCCCATTGAAATATTTTGTACGTACTAAAATAAAATACTCTTATGATTTCTGCATGTTGGCATTCTGCAGCAAGATTTGTGCAAGCCATTAGATGTGCTACGAATACATGAGACCTCTAATGCAACGCAAATTGTGTTCATTTGTCATTGTGCATGTTACAAGCCTTTGCCAACTTTCTATTTAACTACAAAACATTCCTCCTGTGCCGGAGATTAGCAGGGTAGTAAAAAGCTATCCAAACTGGCTATTTCCCGCGTAAAGCAAACGTTGCTGATTACAAAGCACAAGAAGAAATAGAAGGAAACCCTTCTTCAGAAAGAATGTTTATCGAAAGGCCATGTATGCCATATGGTTAAACATTCTCCATCTGGTTAATTTTTGTTCAGAAAAGAGGATCAGTGGCTATGGTAACACTAGCATCCCCAAGCCCAGGAGGAAGATTGTGTGCTGCTGACATGAAGTCACCACCAAACATAACAGCACCAGCTGCCAATGCCCCAGCGCCTGCTCCTACTGCAAAACCAGCAGGTACTCCTCCCCTTTGTGCAGCAGGAGCAGCCCCAGATGATGATGGCATATTGATATAATCAGTTCTTGGGAGCAGAGTGGGAGTATATCCAACATGTGAAGGTGGAGGTGGTTGATAGCTTGGGCCAGCTTGTGCAGGGTAACTTGGTCCTCCCACATATGGATTGTAATAGTTTGTAGGATATGGCTTTGGATATGAGGACATGTTTGGCTGCTGTAGATTTTCTGGCCGGTGAATTGTTGCTGGAGGCACTTGCTGCTGCATATGGGGGGGCTCTAATCCACCTTGTGTGCTAATGTTAGTGTTTCTTCCAGGATCCAGGAGAAAAATTCCTCCATCGCTACCTACAAAATCAAGCTTTTACCTTCAAATTACACGGAGAAGATTCAAACTCATGGGAAATTACTTCAGTCAGTAGTGTCCACTCAAATACTGATAGACTGACGAAATACAGAAATAGGAGACCAAAGAAGCATAGAAACGAGAAAGATGCTGCATGCCAGAAGCAGCATTAGCCAGAAAACGTTAAGGAGCAGAGCAAGATTCATTTTTTTCCCCGGGGTTAAACGAAATGGCAATAAAAATGCGTTAATTCCGGTCATGTTAGTTAAAATACCATGATCTGTGTGAAGACTTCTTCCTAGCCCCACATCCGCATTCGCAGAACTCTAACGTTATGTTTTTGATTCTATGCCGATTACAGTAGATGCAGGGCAAGACAAGACAAAATTATTTATTTACGTTAATTTTGTAAAATATTCATATACCTTGGAACATATTTGGTTCTTCCTTGTCGTCAGAAATACGAATTGAAATATCAATGAACCCTCGTGGTTTGCTGGATTTCTTCTTTCGTAGTTGGTAGCTCCCTAGTTCCTCATTTCCTGCAGACCCTGAAGTCTGAGAGTTCTTTACATGCTTGGCGATAAACTCTTTGAGCATTATAGTTGCAGAACCTTGAAGCTTTTCCGTGAGAAAAATGGGATCTCTGCTGAAAACTTGGACGTTGAGTTCCAGATCCTGGAGGCTCTGCTCCGAGTCGTCATCAAGCAGAAAAGAGAACTTTGTTCTCCAAACAGGATTAGCATTCCCAGAAGCATCAATTGTGGTGCAGTACTTGGATTTAGGATCAACCCAGCCAACGGCATACCATTGACGCTTCCAAAGAGAGACTGACCGTTGCAACCCCCTCGCAGAGATCAAGCACACCTCAATCCAGAATTTCCCCATAAGGAGCACAGTGACACTGAGAAAACAGTAGCGCAAGGTTCTTGCTTCGATGGGATGGGAACAGGAAGATAATGTGAAAGTGGATATATACTGTTGAGTTCATATTGTCATTTTTTTATTTGTTTTTTCCCCCCCTAATTGTTCGTTTTCTTCTTTGGATTCTGTTAGTTTTTTCTTCTCCCGATTCTTTCGCTTCTGGGTTGTCGGAAAAAAGTCTTCACCCTGGATTAAAAAAAGGCCTTCACATCCCCTATCTTTTGGATTTGGGAAATAAAATAATTCACGAACTTGTTTCTCTTCGGAAGGTTTAAACTAAGATTTGAACTTATAATCTCATATTTAAAAAATTTAAGAGAGATCTTTGGTGTTATTGACCTGGAAGATTGTGACAAACTATTGGCATATATGTTATATGAAAAATGAATTCAATATTTTTACATAAAATATAAAGTTTGTAATAAGCTACAAATATTGTGATTTACAAAGAACTTACGTAACATATATGGCTCGATGGAACATTGGTAGTGACCATTGATATGATTCTTGTTTGGAAGATTACGTTTCTTTGAGAAGGGGAAGTTCTTATCCCAAAGCGCCATTAGAGGTCCACCGATCACGACTTTTTGGTTTGTCAAGTTGGCATAATGTGCATTACAGGCAGGCAAGGATCTTAGGATTTGCATGTACAACTGTTTTTGACAAATATTTGACGTGAAAGCTATGTTGGGTTTTAGTCTGGAAAAAAAAAACGTTTGTTAAAAATTTATTTGATAAATAAATTTTTGATATCATATAGTATCTCTGGTTTTTAATATAAAAATTAGTTAATTAATTTGAATAGATTAAAAAATTAATTAATTTAATTATTTATAATAAATAACTATTGTTGTTTTTAAAATATTCTTGTTAATTAAATATATTGGATATAATTACTATTATTATCAGAATTTTTTTTAAAAAAAGATTGAGGTCTTATATTTAATGTTGAAATAAAAATCAAATAAGTTTTTATACTAAAAACCGGAGGCAGTATTTTACTTTTAAAATATAATCAATTGTGTGGTGTTAAAGAGTTAAAAGATGATAATATATATGTGTGCGCAAAATAGTTTCAATCTAATAGTATTATCTACTCATCATAAGACGTGTTTGGATTAACTTGTAAGAAGTGGTTTCACGGTTTTGATACAGGCGTATAAAATGAATTTTGTCTCGATTTAAAAATATTTCCAGAGCATCCAAAGATCCTGTAATGTATGGATGTGTTTGGATCACCGTTTTGTTTTCAGAAAGCCTTGGTATATGTAAAATGCGAGCTACGGGTGTAATTGAAGATGGAAGCTTGTTTGGATCAGCTTTTACTTTCATCAGACTTCCGGAAGAAAAGCTGATTACACTAGAAACCAATTCCAGCGATAGGCTCTGCCTCCTTCTCCCTACTTTCATCATCTTTCCTTTTTGCCCTCACAACTTTTGCCCTCACAACTTTTGTCCTCATTCTCAAATTTTGTAACTTCCCTATCATAACTCTCGTATTGATTCTCATATTTTAATATTTGTATTTTTTTTGTTTCATTTATAATCACACTGTTTATTTTATCATGTTATTTATTTTATATATTCTTAGTAAAATAATTATTATTTTTACTAATAAAAATTATTTATTTTATGATTTTCTATAAAGTAAAAACAATTAATTAAGTTTTTTAGTGTTTAAATTTTTTTCTAATAATACATTAATCCTTTTTATTTTGTAACTTAAATTTAAATTTTTTAAAAAATTATCAAATTATATAATATATATTATAAAACTCATATCTTTTTTACATCTAAACTTACTTTTTTATCAATTATCCAAACAGGTTTTTGTCAATCCAAACATAAATTACATTCGTCTGTAAAAGTCGGTCAGAATAAAAGTTAGTTTTTATTATCTATTTATTATAGGGGATATTTGAATTAGCTTGCAAGAAGTGGTTTTATGGTTTTGAAATAAACATGTGAATAAGTTTTATCTCGATTTACGTAAAAATATTTTTTAAAAATATTTTTCTGATTCTTAATATAAGGCCTATTTAATTAATTTGGTTAGATTAAAAAAGTTAAGTAAGTTAGTTAATTATAAAAAATATGACATATTTTTCATAAAACACCATAATCATCTTTCTTAATACTACCTCCGGTCCTTATTATAAGACTCCGTTTGACTTTTTGTTTGGTTCTAATTAAAAAATCCCAATCCATTTTCTCTCCTATATTTATGCTTTTTTTCCAAGATAATTCTTCTAATAATTATAGTTATAGCCAATATACTTAATTAGCAAGGATATTTTAGGAATGACAACACTTATTTATTACAAATAACTAACTTAACTTACTTCCTTAATCCCCTCAAATAAATCAACTGAGTCTTATAATTAGGACCGGAGGTAGTACCTTTTTTTTTTTTTTACTTGATTATGGTTAATGAGTATCCATAGGGATAATTTAGAAAAAACTGATAAATATGAGAAATATGTTTTATATTTAAGACCGAAATTAACTCAACAATTAAGTCTTATATTGAGAACAAAAAGAGTATTTATAGAACATCCAAACACCCTCTAATGTATATCTCTGTATTAACATGTGATGTTTACGAGTCATGCATCAAGAAAAATTATATACTATAAATACAGAACGCACGACTCACCGCTCAAGATTTGTGTCATATTTGGAACGTACAAAAGATGTTAAAAAGATATAATGAAAATAATACTCTTTTTGTATGGCCCAATTATTAAATTCATCTTGATTATAAATATAAAACATATTTTTATATTTATTAATCTCTTTAAATTATTTTTATTAATATCCTTTCAATGATAATCAAATACAAGAGAAATAAAAAATATCAAGAAAAATAATTATAACATTTTAAGAAAAATATGTTATATTTTTTATAATTAACCAACATATCTAACTTTTTAAATTTAATTATATTAATTAAATATGTCTTACATAATGAATAAGAGAAGTACAAAATATGTATATCATATTTAATTAATTAGATACAAAGTTCAAAAATCAATCGCATCATTTATATTTTATAAATATTATAGTTTATTGCGAATATTATTATACTTTATATTGATATAGAGCCTGATTTATTGATCTAATGATTAATATGGATTGATGTTGATATAGATATTATTTGTAATTTTTTTATGATATTCCTCGGATCCTTAATATAAGACCCAATTCTTGAGTTAGTTTAGTTTTGATCCTAAATATAAGACCCATTTATCATATTTATCAATTTTTTCAAAATTACCTTTATAAATACTCCTTTAACTATAATTAAGTAGAAGAGGGAAATGGGGTATTAAGAAAGATGATTATAGTGTTTTAGGAAAAATATGGCACTTTTCTTATAATTAACTAACTTATCTAACTTTCTTAATCTAATCAAACTAGTTAAATGGGTCTTATATTAAAGACTAGAAGAGTATAATGATGTGGTAGCTTTTTGATTATTGGGCCCAGCTTCGGAAAAAAAGTGGTCTAGCCCAAGGCTGATATGTGGGCTTAGTCAGTCGGCGTTATCACCAGACTTTAAACGGGGCCCTACTTATGCATTACTTTTTACCCTGCTCTGTGACGTTGGCTTATATTATCATTATTATTTTAAAATATTTTCTTTAAATTCCAGATCCCAAATTCGGATTTTGAACGGGATCGAACTCGATGACGGCATGACGCTCATTGAAATTTCACACTCTCGCCTCTCTTATATTGGACTTAATTTTCAGTTTCTTTCTCCTTTTTCCTCCAATCGTTGTCACTTGTCACTGAGAAATTGATGTTAGTTCTGGGAACCTCACTGTTGAAGGCCTTCACTTTCGTTGCTTTTCGAGGTCGAAGGAATTAGGGTTTTCTGCGAAGGACGTTAGCTGAGTAGTGGATGCAGCAGCAGGATTAGTCCTTCGCGAAAAATACTGTATTTGTCGAACTCACGGGGAGTGTAAATTCGGGGTTCAAATTTGAAGTTGGATGTTTTGAAGAGGGCGATATGGATGGTGGAAGAAGGATCACGGTTAGCCCTAGGCCTTGTAGTGGTCGCAGAGTAGTCGCGAAGAAGAGACAGCGTCGAGGTGGGGGAGTTGATGGGTTTGTCAACAGCGTCAAGAAGCTTCAGAGGCGTGAAATTAGCTCTAAGCGTGATAGAGCTTTCAGTATGAGCGATGCTCAAGAAAGATTTCGTAACATCCGCTTGCAGGTTCGGTTACCTTAGGGTGGCCTTTTAGTTTCTATTTTCTGTTTTATGACTTAATTAGTTTTTTTCCAACTTCTTACTGTGTTCTTAAATTATTGGTATTGAATTAGTATGAACTTGTCGAACAATATGCTTGGTGAATTTATTGAGTTAATTGCTCGCAACTGAATAGTTTAACTTCAAGACAATTTCGTGGCAATTAGCTTGAATTATAATATTAATGGTTGGCATGATGGGATAAGGATGGCTGGGAAAACGTTATATGAAATTGGATAATGAGATTGGTGGATCTCCTGATGAAAGTGAATAAAGTGGAACTTTAAAGCATGTACTTGTTTGCTTGTGCTTATCATGATTTGGAGACGAGTTCTATAGATATGCATATATAAGCGGAGTATATTTGTAATGTGCTGGTTGTGTCTTTTGTTGGGCCTTCGTCAGGAACTTGTTTTGCTTATCCTTGTGGTTTTTACCGTTGAAACATCCAGTGGTACAATATGATGTTTGCTCTAGTTTAATTGACGAATACGCCTGATCTCTAGCGGATCTGTTTGTAGGAAGAATACGATACACATGATGCAAAAGGTCCTTCTTCTGTGGTACTGCCTTTTCTGAGAAAGAGATCAAAAATCATTGAGATTGTGGCAGCACAGGACATAGTTTTTGCTCTTGCACAGTCTGGCGTTTGTGCAGCATTTAGTCGAGGTATAATTATCATCTATGTGTCACGATACCCAGATATGATACGTATGGCATGTTTTAATCCTTTTCTTTTCCTTTTTTGTTGCAGAAACTAATCAAAGAATATGCTTTCTGAACGTGAGTCCAGATGAAGTTATAAGGAGTCTGTTTTATAATAAGAACAATGACTCACTTATTACAGTTTCTGTTTACGCTTCAGACAGTTACAGTTCTTTGAAATGCAGAAGCACGAGGATCGAGTATGTCTGGCTCTTCTTGATTGTTTTGCAAATTCCTCCATTTCCCCCCTGCCCAATAGGAAAAGAAGGGGAAAACCCTTAAGATTCATGAGCACATATAATAACTGAAAGAACCGCACATGGCAACTGTTGCTAGTGTATCTTGTATTTGCGGTTTCTTTGTCTAACATTTTTTTGGTTGTCCAGGTACATAAGGAGAGGTAAACCAGATGCTGGCTTTGCTCTTTTTGAATCCGAATCTCTGAAGTGGCCAGGCTTTGTTGAGTTTGATGATGTAAACGGGAAGGTTCTCACCTACTCTGCTCAGGATAGGTAGATATTTTATTGTGTAATACTCGTGTGCAAAGATATAATTTTCTTATTGACTTCTTTGCCCTAACAGTCGCATTTCTTTTGCTGTTTTTGGGTATATAGCATCTACAAGGTGTTCGACCTGAAAAATTATACGATGTTGTACTCCATTTCTGATAAAAATGTTCAAGAGATTAAGATAAGGTATCTCTCTTTTATGAACCTGTGAACTTTACTTGCAGTTGCACTTCATACTACCACAGAGACTGTATAGGCCATGCTTAAGTTATTAGTATATTACATGATCTTTTCTGTACTTTGAAAAATCAGTTCTCCTTCTACATTTGTCGTTGGTGGGCGGTCCTGCTTAATTTGTACTTACTATGTTCTTTTCTATTATTCTCTTTATCAGCCCGGGGATCATGTTGTTGATCTTTGCTAAAGCAAGCAGCCATGTTCCACTCAAAATTCTCTCAATTGAAGATGGTACTGTTTTGAAATCGTTCAACCACCTCCTTCATCGGAATAAGAAGGTGGATTTCATTGAACAGTTTAATGAAAAACTTCTTGTCAAGCAAGAAAATGAGAATCTCCAAATTCTTGATGTAAGTATTGTTCTCTTTTACGTGACTTGTTTGCATTGATCTGCATGCAAATATCTGACTTTTAATTTTATTTTAGGTGCGGACATTTGAGTTAACAGAAGTTAGTAGAAGTGAATTCATGACACCTTCTGCATTTATATTTCTGTATGAGAACCAATTATTCCTGACCTTCCGCAATCGTACTGTGGCTGTTTGGAATTTCCGTGGAGAGCTTGTAACTTCTTTTGAGGATCACCTTTTGTGGCATCCTGACTGCAATACAAATAATATATACATAACTAGTGACCAAGATCTCATTATATCATACTGCAAGGCTGATTCTGATGATCCATTGTCTGAAGGAAATGGTAACTTCCCTTTTCTCTCTGGACCTCTTATTTGTTTTTGTCATGGTCCTTCACCTGGAAATGCACTTTTTGTGATGCAAACTGCAAAATACTGTGAGAAATGGTTTGAAACTGAGGATTGTAGCTTATCCATTGGATGGGAAAGATGATCCAACTAAGCTTGTCATCAAATGCGGACTATATAAGCCAAAATTTAAAATATGATAGCATATACTAGTGATCCGTTGTAACTCACTGTAACACTGCAAGCGAGAACCTGTCATCTATGGTGTGGTTGGATGATAGGGCATATACTTACAAGCTCTTTTTCATTAATGCAGCAGGATCCATTAATGTCAGCAACATTTTAACTGGCAAGTGTCTTGCTAAAATAAGAGCGAGCAATAGCTCACCCATGGAGAATGAATGCGGTTGTTGTGACAATTGTTCAAGTAATGGCTGCTGTTCAAGGAAGCGAAAGTATACCTCCAGAATCAGGAGCACAGTTGCGGAAGCGTTGGAAGACATCACTGCCCTCTTTTATGATGAAGAGCGCAATGAGATCTATACCGGCAATAGACATGGTCTGGTTCATGTATGGTCTAATTGATGCATTGTTCAGTCTAATAATGCCTTGTTCTTTCTAATTGCTCTTTAATCCATGATTGAGTTGATTGTCCTTGCCTGCTGTAAGACGCCTTATGGGAGTAGTAACCCATTTTATATTTGTATGATTCATTTTTTTTCCTAGTGATGTACGTCTCAGGCAAGTTTGTCCAGCAGTTGACAACTTTTATCTGTATTATGTGAAATTCTACGCTGGTAACTCTCGTGCCAGATGTTGCTTCTGCTGTAATCTATTTTACATTTATGGAGCGGCCTCTGGCCCTCTAGAGTGAAATATGTGAATAATGTAACCCTATTTTCTTTGCTTCCCTTTCTGTTCTTGTGAGGTTCATTTGTTTTTTTTTCCCCCCTTTCCCATGTGGTGGCATATGGTGGCCTAATCTAACTGAGCTGCACATGGATTGTAAGTGCCGCAACGGTAAAGGTAGAAAAAGTAATCAGTAGTGTGGTAGCTTTACGATTTGCCAATCCTCACCATGTTCTGCTGCTTCCATCAATTTCACTTTTGTGTTCCATGCCACTTTTTCTTCTTATGGCTTCTATTCTGCCAGATCTTATCTAGTCTCAGTGCAAAAGCTGACCTACACGCTTCCACTTTCACTTGGCATCAAAATTAGTGATGCAACCAGTGGAATCTTTCTTGGCCATGATATGCCAATCTCGTGCATAGAAGGGGATAATTGAAAGAACTGGGAGGCATTTTGGAAATCATTCCAAAGTCTTTTCAATGTCAATTTTGGTCCAAGTTGGGTATCTTTTTTCGGGTTTAGACGCATCTAGCATCCCGAAGTATTTTTAAATGTATATTCAGTATTTCAAAATATTTTATGGTGTATCTAACACTTTAAAGTATTTTCTAAGTGTGCTCAACATTTTGAAATATTTTTTTTCCTCTTAGTACTAAATACATAAAAAAATATTTTCGAATGCTGGACGTAAATAAGAAAAAGTACTTTAAAGTGCTAGATATAGAAAAAAATATTTTACAGTGTTGGACGCACTTAAAAAAATATTTCAGGTTATTGAATATATCACAAAATACTTGAAGTTGAGATTTGTTGGATGTGTTTTTCCCCTTTTTTTCCCTCTATTGTCAATGTTTATTTAGAATCTAGGAAATAAAAAAATAAAAATAGAAAGAACTTCTATTCTTCGTTGAGATTAATTACTATGTAATTTTTACTTTTTCTTTTTTAAAACAATTTTATATGATTTTAATATTAATAACAGTTTGAAATTCATATCATAATGGAGCCATATGTCTAAACCACTTGTACACGAAAATAAAAATATTAGTTGAAAAGAACTGGGGTTATCCTTTCGCTTCCTGTAGGGCCTCATCGCGCGGGTGCGCGTGTGGATATGCGTATTAATTAGAGCAGATCTGGACCTGGATGAGACGAGAAAGGGATTAGAAATAAGGGGATGAGTTGAGATTTGCATGTAAACTTATAATAATTCACTTTTATCTTTTATGTTGATATATTTTCTCAACTAATTTATTTAATACTGTTATACATGATTGTCTGAAAAAGATCATATAACATGTTATCTTCTATCCTTAATATAAGAATTAGTTGACTAATTTGAGTAGAGTAAGAAAATTAATTAAGTTAGTTATTTATAATAAAAAGATATTGTCTTTCTTAACATATTCTTATCAATCAAGCGTATTAACTAAAACTATTATATGATAAATCTTTTTATGAGTAACTATTATAAGGACTATTTTAAGAAAAATAGATAAATATAATAAACATAATGAATCGAGAAAAGTGAAACTAATTCTTATATTAAGTTAGCATATAAAACGAAGCGAAGCGTTTTTGTTGGTTGGTGTTTTGTCGAAATTTAAATTGATACTACTATTACATACCGGGAGAAGAAGCACCCGCGTAAATTACCGACAAACATGTGAGAACCCACAGATCCGAACATGTGTTCCCTCTCAACACGCACGCTTCCTCCTTCAATTGGTCGCCCTCCCTACTGTCTCTCTTCCTCCCCTCCGCTCTTCTTCACAATACACAATTCTTCCGCATTACGTATTCCCCAAATCGCAAAACACACCATCATCTTTAAAATCTCCACTTTATTCCTTTTCATATTTTTTCAATTCTCCAATAGTTATGTGACCGTTTTTGTTGATATTTTTTGTTTTATTTATACATTCTATGAAGTTGATATTCCGTCTCCCTCATTCAAAATGCGAGACAGACAAATAATATGCTATATGGGTATAAAATAAAAAAAATTATAAATAAAGACTCCTGAATATATAAAATTATGATTTAGGACCATGAATTTGGAAAATAGTAGATAAGGACCCGGTCCTACTTTTTCAAATATAAAATCAAGGTGAAGTGTTTGAAATGCCCATAAGCCAAATGACAAGTTAACTATGAGAAATGACAAGTCTACTTTAACGAATGACAACTTCAATAGATCAAATCACAACTTGACTGAAGATATGCTAAATGACGAGTTGATTATGGGAAATGACATGTTTACTTTAGCGAATGACAATTTCAATAGACTAAATCATAATTTCGCTAAGAAGCATTTCAGACATTTCATCACGATTTCATATTTGCAAAAATAGAATTGGGTCCTAATATGCTATTTTCCAAATTCAAGATCTCAAATTGCAATTTTACATACTTGAGGGTCTTTATTTGAATTTCACCTAAAAGAAAACTAGCTATATGATTCCATCATTCCATTTAGCTTTTTTTGTTTTGTTATATTTTAGAATATAAGGAAAAAATATTTTTAAGTGCCTCCACTTTTTTTTTAAAGAAAAATAAAATTGTTGTTTAAATAATTTAAATTGTTGCCTCAGGACAAGGACTCCCAGGGAAGCTACCCGAGTAAAGTTAAGATTTTCTTTTTCCGAAAAATACCGACAGAACAGTTGGGGCCCACCCCGTGGTCCTGGAGCGTGCGGTCACGCGTCAGTTAAAGCACAGTCTGTTTTTCCTTTCCAGTTATTGCAAATCGACGCGCCTTGTCTTTCTTCGTTCACTAAATCGCCTCTCGTCAGTCATCACTATAGGCCTACCGAGCTCGCCATTCACACTCTCCCAAATTGGAGCTCAGGGACCGCAGCTTCCGCTTCTGCATTTCGAAGATCTCTAACTCCCGCATTCATTCGGAGTAATACAGTCCAGATCTTAGCTCACAGGTTTAGGCCTTTCGCTTATGTTCTCCTTGCATTGGTTTTCTGCTTTGGAAGACTTTCTTCGCATTTTTCGTCGTCTCTTTCCTGCCCCCTGTAACCATTGGGCATTATTTTTTAATCATTTTCAAGTATTCGTTAAGTTGCAATGCCTTGGATTCTTCACCAATCAGCAGAATTTGACTCACCCGTTGTAAAATCTGCGGACTCTTCCAGATTTGAACCCAAAGATTTTCTTCCTTATTTGCTTCACTGGAACTCACTCGGCATATGGCTTTTTTTCCGAAATTTAGGCGGTTTGGCGACATGCTAGATCTGACTTCACTGCAAGCATATCTAATTATCGTCCTTTTCTCTTTTGATCTGGGAATTATTTTCTGATTATCAAGTCACAATATCTGAGTTTGCGTCACTTTTTTTTTTCTTTCCAAACTAGCCATGCTCTTTGACCACATTTGGATTTTGCCCTGTTGCAAATCTGTTGTTGACTTCTTGCTGGGTGCACTGAAATTTGAAGCTAGTTCAGGTTTTTTTTTTTTTGGTTCACTTATTTTTCCCCTTTGCTTGTTTGATTCTCTACTTCATTATATTTTCAAGACGAACATTTCATGTGGTTTTTTAAATGTGTATTTTGTTTTCCCGTAGCATTGTAATAAAAGTTGCGCATGCTATTCAGCAGTCTGTATTTAAGACGAATGTGGTCATTTTGAAAAAATTACAATTCTAAACTTATTTTGCCTCCCTGTCGGCGTTGCAAATGAAATAAATTTCATATACGCGTCATTCGTTTGGTGATATATGACTTGGAGAATCTCTACTCTTTAACTGTGCATGCCTCATATAAACAAGTCTTTCAATGCTTTGTTTCTAAATTCTAATAATGAAATTACTCGAGCTTCTCAATATGCAAATCGAAATTAATTCTGGCTCGCTTCTGCTTGAGCTATGAGCAGATTTTTAAAGCCTAATACAGAGGACTCACATGTTATCACTTTGGTCTTCCAGTTGAAATATCTTGTTAGTTTCAGGGTGACATTTAATCCATATCTCAATCTAAATATTTTTTTCCTGCTTCTTTCAGGTTCAAGTTCCTTGGATTTTGATTTGAGCATTTCGTAATGGGTGATGCGTTAGCTGGTGATGTGCCATTAGATTCTGCTTCGATTCAGATTTTTCCCAACCAAAACAGGTTAGGATTGATGCTGAGTGGAGATAAAATTAGGCTTAAGGTTGAAGCAGATTTGGTTGCATGAACTAATTTTAATACTATCCTTGTAAAGTGAGAGTCCTTAGAGTTGCATTTGATTATAACTTTGAAAGTGATCTCTTTGAATTAAACACTTGGAATAGCCCTGTAAATTTGTAGAAATAATTGCATGCACTATAGATTGCCAGATCCAAGCGCACAAGCTGCATACCTAACATCGGTCTTGATGTTCAAGTTAAACTTGGGAATAACTAATGCTTCTTAATCATGGAAAGTTTTGTTGTTTGATTCAGATATGAATCTAACTTGCGTTTTAATATATAGTCAGTATTTCATAAAATCCAATCAACAGAATATTGATTTTAAATTGTCTTTAAAGTAGACTTGTGAAATGCTTGTCTGACCACCCGAGCCCTCAGCTGCCAACTTGCACCTGTTAAAAATTTCAGTCATTGCAGTTAATTAGGATTTCATTTGTCCATTATTTCTTCCTTAAGTAATTCATTTACACATTGACTAGCAGTTCTCAGTCATGTGAACTGTACATTTTTTGGACTTTTGCTGGCTCTTTACTCTTTTCTTCGGTTGTGGTCCAGATATGAAGCATTTGTTTGTAGGGAGGAACAAGTGGAGAAAGTGGCAGGAGGGCTTTTGGAATACTTGTTGCCACATTTACCTGGAATAAATGATCTGTGTGCAAAGGGATTGGATGCAAGCTTTGAGCTGAAGTCACCAAAAAATCTGCATGATGTTGAATGGTTTACTAAAGCAACTGTTAAAAGGTTCCTGTCAAAGATCAGTTTGTTCTCTGCTTTTATTTTGCATTTTATTTCTAATACAGTAAATACACTTAACAACTTCTCTCTTGTTATTTCATCACTCAGATTCCTTGATGTTGTTGGCTCACCTGATTTGATAGACACTATCAATGCTATCATAAATGAGATGTCTCAGCTGGAGGACTCAAAAAATTTCCATCTTTCTTTATATGGAAAGGTGATATTATGTGTCTCTGAATTAATATATGCTGTATGTGTGTAGTTTCTAATTGATGATATTCTTCTGAATCAGGACCAGAAGCATCATCCTGAAGGTGAGGAAAAAGGTGATTTTTCAATTCTTGGTAACTTGTACTTTTAGGCCTTGTTGATTCTTGCCCACCATTAGGATCCTGTGATTAACTCGTTAAGAGATAAAGTAGGTCCCTCTGAGAGAGATTGCCAGATTGGCTTCGGCATGACCATTAATGTTACTAGGGCCGGGTTAATTTTATGCCCTGATATTCCAAGTAAACTAGTGGTTGCTGATCTGGATATTCTTTGTCTTAATCTTCCAAGTATTTCTTGTTGTATACATCAAAATTTCATTTAAAGTCGGAAACCCATGCCTACTACTATCTCTGTGCTGTCCTCGAAAATTTAAAATTTGTTTCTTGTCTTCATCAAGCTGGATGATTATTTGACCAGGATAACTGTTATGATTTATAAAGTCTTAACAATTCTCAGTTGTTTGTGATTTGGATAAGTTTAGCCTTTGGTATTTGTTGTTAGGATGGAGTTCTGTTGTTGCGCTGCCCTACCATGTCAGGGCGCTGGTTATATTAAAATATTAAATAAGAGTTTGATCTAATATTCTAAATCTAGCAATCAATAATCAAGTTGATTTTAGTAAATTTTCTCTTTGTAGGATAACATATTCCTCTTAGTGATATGGGTTTTCTGTGTAAGTTGAACTATCATTATGTGTAGAAGTGTTAGTAGTTTGGCGTCTGTCATGCTTCAGCTTGCTTTAGCAACTCCCCTGCTCTCCATGTAATACCCCGTGTTTTACCCAAGATACCTATGTTCTCCAGATTTCTATTGATTTTTATCATTATGGCTTTACCTCTTTTGACAGATGGCCACAGTTCAACTGACATGACACCATCCTCCGAAGTAATTTCTTTTCTTGAGCACTGCTGGCTGATTTCATTTTTTGTTTAAATTCAGCCTCACTATTTTTAATCAATATTCTTTTCTTTATTACATTGCATTTCAACTAACATTGTGGTGCATATGACAGGTTCAAGTTAACACTACAGCATCTGATGCTTCAAAGTATGTTCCTGTGGCTATTAAGTTTAGGCTACATGTTTATCAACTCTGCTCCCAATTGAACTTATATTTACAGGAATGAGCTACTGCGAGCAATGGACCTGAGGTTCTCAGCATTAAGCAAGGAGTTAGCAACAACTTTTAACAAGGCTACCAATTCCACCTCCTCCCCCAAAGATATCAGTGATTTAGCAGAGTTTTGTCAACAATTTGCAGCCACTAATATTGGGTAAGTTTTGGATAACAAATCATATGCTCTTTTCCTTCAGAACTTGCAAGACTTTAGCAATACTGCATTTAATATGTACGATTCCTTCCTCCTCCATCTAACTAAAAACTGCTGAGTTGCTAAGATCTTTTTCTCCCCGTTCACTGTTTTATTGATCTCAGGAACTCTTTGAGTAAGCTTATAGAATTGAACCAAAAGAGCCAGGATGTTGGTCCGCTGCACAATGAACCAGCTTTCTCTTCATGCAACGCGACAGATGATTCTACCAGGGTTGTAAAAAATTCTCAGATTTCCAAGCCAGTGCACCAAGAAACACCAGTTAAGTATGGTGTTTCGCCAGCTAAAGTTGCTCAAATTGAGAGACAGAGTTCATCAGAAAGTGAAGAATCATCTCACTCTAGTGATGAAGGTCAGGCATCTGCTGAAAGAAGTCGGTCTCTCACAAGATCTGCAACACCCAGAAGGTCAGCATCCCCAATGAGGAGAATACAAATAGGAAGAACTGGACCCCGAAGGGCTGCTGCATTGACCATCAAGAGTCTTAATTTTATCCCTGCGAGAGAAAGGGCAACATCGTATAGAGATGCTGCTACAAATGGCTCTGAAGAGGAAATATCTGAAAAATCTTATAAGAAGCCGGAGATTGATGTGAGGAGGATAACTGTGCAAGATGCCATCAATCTATTTGAAAGCAAGCAGAGGGATCACGCTACAGACATTCAGACTAGGAGGTCAATGACAGATGCCTCTATCAATACAAATAAATCTGTATTAAGAAGATGGAGTTCAGGCATGGGGGAAAACTCCATCCAGTGCCAGCCACAAAACGATTCTGAAGATTCTGTTTCTGCAACTTCCAATGACATGGCAGATGTTAAGAACCCAAAAAGTGTAGAGGGAGAAGTGGTGTCTGATTTTGTGTCTGAAAGTCATAATTATAATGAGGTCACTGAAAACAATGTAAAACCAGAAAGAGAGGAAAATATTAGGTCTAACACAGTTGATAACCAAGCAGAAACAAATCCAGACCTTGGAAAGGAAACCAGAAAGTGGGCCGCATCAGCAGAATGGAATCAACAAAAGCAAGCAGAGTATAACGAGATTCTTATGAAAATGATGGAAAGTAAGTCTGTAAAATTTGGCAAGTCCCAGCCTAGTAAAAATCAGAATATTCCAAGTGAACAAAGAGGAGGATCTTATGATGATTACAAGGAGAAAAGAGATGCTAAACTTCAAGGAGGGAATACCAGTAAAAAAGTTGAAAAGGAGGCACAGTTTCGAGCTGTGCAGCAGATACTGGATAAGAAAAAAGCTGAAATGCTGTCCAATAGTGGGAATGGAACTAAAAAAAATACAACACGGAAGCCTCAGAAGTCCCTCAGGAATCCAACTCAACCTGCAAATTCCTCAAAGGAAGCCTCCAAGCCTGCAGTTACCAAAAAGGTGTCATCTAAAGCATCACCATTGCCTGCTACCCGTAAGTCTTGGTCAGCAACACCTTCACCAAGGGTTGCTGCAACTTCCCCTGCTAAAGTTCGGGGTGGAGTTTCTTCAGCTAGCACCACCCCAACACGTCGAAAGCCACAGTCAGCAGCATCTGTTCCTCAACCAAGTCCACAAAAGGAAAGAACTCAGCCACGAATTAGAAAGGAGAAAGAAACCCAAACTAATAATGTTAGGAGCCTCAAAAGCAAAAATGAAAAACAGCAGGCAGCAATCTCAAACAAGAGTAAGGAAATGAAAGAAAAAGTGACAAGTGCTTCTCTAGATTCTTCCACTCCTTCGAAGATTAGCTTAACCAACAAGGGAACCAAGAAAAGCAGTGTAGTGCCGGTGGAATCGAAACCCTTTTTGCGGAAGGGTTCAAGGACTGGACATAGCACTGCTATTACTAGCAAGAAAAAGATTTCTCCTAAGCCTGAGGAATCTCCTAGAGACAATGGGGTTCCAATTGAAGCTCAAGAAACCGATTTGGTTGCAAATACTTCTGATTTGCTCAGTCAGCATTCGGACAGGGATTCAGTGACACCTAATAATCAGAATGCTGTTCTAGAACCGGAATGTCAGATAAATAATCACTTGCAATCTGGGGAAACAGATAATGTAGACGAAGTACCTACCGAAGTTGGTGATGTCTCGACAAATGTGGAATGGTCTTCATTGAAGATGAATACTGAAGAAGAATCAACCATACCCCCTACTGCTTGGGAGGAAATAGAAGAGCATCTAGAACTGCCGAAGACGTGTGAGGATGGCTCATTTCAACCTGCATCTCCGGCCAATATTGTTCCAGCAGGATTAGCTAGTCCTCGAGTTCGCCATTCTCTATCCCAGATGCTGCAAGAGGAAAGTAGTGAACCTGACACTTGTGAGTGGGGAAATGCTGAGAATCCTCCTGCCATGATATACCAAAAGGATGCACCAAAAGGATTGAAAAGACTCCTGAAATTTGCTCGAAAGAGCAAGGGGGATACAAATTCCACTGGCTGGTCTAGCCCATCCGTCTTTTCTGAAGGAGAGGATGATGCTGAGGAATCTAAAAATGGTACAAAAAGAAATGCTGAAAATCTACTGAGAAAGGCTGCACTGCATGCTAAAAGTTATGGGCAACCAAAGAGTTCATTACATGAAGGCTACGACAAAAATTTAGGTACTAGCAAACTTATTAAGCATGTTTCAACTTTTGCCCTTTGCTCTTCTTTCATTGTTGCTTTTTTTGGTTTTAAACCCCTCTCCACGCTGTCTTCAATTTTTTTCCCCCCTATGGTATATCGTATACTTCAGTTTCATTTGACACACTGCTCTTTCGTCACCTTAAATATTTTTAGCCCTTTGACAAGTTCATGCTATATGGTACTTGAACGTGATAAGCTCCAACATGAGATGGTTTCCTAATTAGATAGCTTTCGTACCTCTTTCTGTCTTGTGCTGAAGCTTCTTTTAACAGCATAGCTCCATATTATATGCAAATGGCAAGTCTTGCTTTTAATTTCAATGTTAAATTAGAACTGAAAGTCTTGTAATTTAGCCATTGGAGCTTCAGCATATCTCATTTAAACTAATGCTCCTCAATATATCGTCTTTGGTTACCAAACCTGATGGTGAAATGATGTTTGAGAGGAATGAAACCGTCACCAATGAGTTCAGGCCCTGAAAAAGGGAAATAGTAAAGATGTATGTGTTGTGCTTAAATAATTGAAAGCTAATAGACATGGCTTTTTACTTGTTGCTCATACAATTGCGATCTGCAGCTTTAAGCAAACTCGATGGCAAGGTCCCTCACAAGATGCAAGGAGGCCGGGATTTTGGTGCTGGTCCTACTACAAAAGGTGAGTCCTTTCTCTGAGTAATCCCCGACATGAAGGTCTATCTTTTTGTGTGTCAGCAAATTATATTTTCTTATTAGTCTTAGTAGTGTTACACTCTATTCATTGCTGCTTCTACATGTCTGTGTGCCAGGGTCAAGATCATTCTTCTCTCTTTCAGCTTTCAGGGGAGGTAAACCCGCTGAGGCAAAGTTTCATTGATGCTATGGATAGCCTTAAGGATAAAGATAATCTCTATCATCATCACAGGACCTGTTCATAGCAAATTTAGTACCAAGTTTTCCCTAAATTCCTGCTTGGTGTTGCATCAAAACACGCACAAATCAGGAATGGTTTTCCATATTTCGTTCAGCGGGTTGATAGTGATCAATTGGGTTGGGTCGAAGGTTGTAAATTGTGTCCTTGTACCATTGTAGCATCACCTTCTCATAGAAATAATATCCTGTTTCTCCAATCCACGGGGTATTCTCCAATAGTTAGATCCAATGTTGACCCAAATGCTCATGAATCATATAATGCGGTGGCTTCATACGTTGGAATTATGGCTTATTGTGGATAAGTTGACTGCTACAATTAGTCTATTATCAGATTAGTGACTAGTGATGATGTAAATGCAACCCTTTAACCCAAGTCAATAAAAACTATCACAGAAGTCTTTGCATATTGTTGCATCATAAATGATTGGCTCGTTCAACCTGCAGAAAATATTTATTGATGTCTCACATGACCAAGTACGCCAGTACGGATGTGTGTGATCTGGTACTGACAGGTTAGACACAATTCTTACTCGTATTTTTTAGTTGATTAGTTATGTTAGCAACAATTTCTCTCATGGGATCTTGTTATTAAGAAGTGGGTTCGGATTCTTTGAAGATGATTTTACATGACAGTGATATCCATATCTGAGAGATAAATAATTGATTAATTGATGGGTTTCACATAGAAAAATGTATATTTTTCTGAAGGTAATCATCCGCGAAGAGGGTGATTATCCCAAACTACTGGTAATGAGTACAAACATAATTCCAAACCATGTAAAGATTAACCATCAGCAATAATTTAATCTACAAAAAACTGTTAATTAAGCGGAAACTATTAGAAACGCATTTCATCATAACTGTCCAAATAAAACTTGCCGTTGTCACCCTCACGTTTGACTCCGGTCATAACAATTGGCAAATTTGCCAAATGAAGAAAAGGGTTCCAAAATCAGCCAACGCCAACGAGGGCCAAAACCCAAAAGGAGGAAAAATCAGCACAATTTTATCACGCGAACGAGGACAAAATTATATGAAAAGTAATGTCTGGATATCTAATCAACTTCAATATGATGTCCATGGTGGTTCCCTCTCTGCTGAGCCTAAAATGGGCATGTGTACGGCAAAACCTGACTCTAATTCACTGAGCTTCTCTATGAGATCCTTAATTAATTGTCCCACTACATAAAACACTACCGAAGTTGCAACCGCCAAGGTAACATAATACGACAGTGTTTTGGCGTATGATTTGGGCGGTCTTTTGGTGTAAACCTTGCCAATTGCAAGCAGAATGATGCATACCATAGAAGCGGCCACTACTTCTGCAACCTTCACTTCCGAAGAGTAATTTTCACCGATCAATATGCCGTAAATAACGACAGGGACAGCACCGGCTACTACGAATGATAAAACAGTGACAACTGCATGAAGTACGAAGTTTTCTCGGCGACCAAGCAGTCTCTGGTACCGATCTTCTTGTTTGTTTGTTTCCTCTGTATCCCCTCCAGAGTCATCTTCTTTCAATTCCATAAGCTGTGAAAGTAACAAGGGCTTGTCTTCATGCTTTAAAAATTAATCCAGCTTGGTAAATATGATTCATGTGTCTCTAAAGCCAAATATTGGATTCATCAATTGTATGTTTATACTTTTGCCTATTGTCTGATGCAGAATATTGGACAATAATATGTAACTCTCAACGTAAGTCGTAATATAAAGCAATGATATCCAACTATTGTTTGTATGCATAAAAAATTGATTGGAAAAGAAAGCAAGAGAGACAATAAAGATATTAAAGTAATTATAACACCAAGAATACAAGGAAACTCACTCACATGATGAACAATGATGAAAAGTCCACCAACCAGATATGCTAATCCCAGGGCTATAATATTCACTAACAACTAAAATGGCAACTTTAGCCTAGTGATATCTCATAACTATTAAGTTGAAATAATATTAGAAGTCCAGATGGTGACTTCTTATTAAAGAAGACTTGCACGAAGAAGAACCAGCACTAGCTGCAGATGTCACAATTCCCAGACTTGCGATTGATTCAATTAAACCACGCAATGCTTTTAAGTATTTCCCGTCCATACGGTTCCCCAACTTCACCTCCTGCTTGTTCATCATTATGTACTTGAGCTTGAGTAGATGTTTCTGTCAAAATCGTACCTTCAATTGGAACAATATCTTCTGTTTGAATAGTGGTGGGTTCAACTGGTTCAACTAACACGATGACCTCACTCCCTGCATCATAATTAACACATATTTACTGTTGATTCACGGTAAGCTCTCAATTTTTTTGGATGAATATGAGTTGTATAAAATCGTTAAGCTAGCCAATTATAAACAGAGAGGTAAGCATGCCTGACACATTATTTCAGTTAAACCCACATCTGTAGTACTTAAATATCTATGGGATTGGCTTGGTCTATCAGCTTGTTTTAATTTGACCAGGTGTCCCGAAGAAACTCTTAAAATGAGTTTTCTCTGAGAGCATAAACTCTAGAGACATGAGCTAGAGTCATGCATAATTGATATTTAACATATGGTTATCTCATTCTTGCAAATACCTTTCTTTTCTGTTCCGACCAGATGATTTCTTTCTTCTTCAATTTCCTTTTTCGCTTTTTCAACCACGGTAAGATCTTGTTCTGGTAAACATTCAGCATCTCCGCCAATATCTTGCATATCTGAAGCTGCATTCTTTGCAAGCTCTGCATTGCAAAATGACTGAGCAGTTACCTGTGAACCCTGCATTGACGACGGATGATAACTATTCTGAATATTTAATTTATCTTCCATTGCTATACCGGATTTCTTGTATACATCCTTCTCTGAATCCTCAGTTTCTTCTTCATAAGGCTTCGGAGCGGGATCTTTTGCATGTTCTTCAGCTTTGACAACTGCTTCACTAGTAATTGTAATTGCTGAAAGATGTCTCCCTTGCTTTGGTATAATATCACCTGATGCATGGAAAACTTCTGAATCACAATAGCACTGAGAACTATTTCATTCACACTGATCACATTTGCTATTCCCTTATTTATACAATAAAGGCATGTTTTAAATACCCGAATAGCCGAATTGCCCACCGATCCTAATTCTCCTAAACGCTTTTACCCATTCTCCCAGTTACCTTTGATTCTCCATATAACATCACCAGAAAGGTTCACCGAAGCTACGAAGTCTGCTTCAGAGTGATTTATTGAAACAAGTAGCAATATATTGATTACTGAACTGGAAATGAACCTATGTAATGAATAACATGTTTTAAAACTACGATTATGTGTATCAAGCTACTTTGTATGGGTTTCATGGTGTACATGAATATTTTTGATAAACGACTGAGAAATTATGCAAGTTTTGGATTAAAATCTCATAGATAAAAATGAAACAGAAAACTTCTCCAATACCTGAATTACAACTTTTTATCTTTTGGGTACAGAATGGTTTATTTGGAGGTAAGAGACCTGGAAAGGATTGAACTGGTAATGATCCAATTGAGTTATCAAGGAACGACCTTTTCAAAGATAGACTTGTTTGAGTCGTGTGAAATTTACTGCATGCGATGCAAATGTCCCTGATCTTACGTCTCAACTATTCAAGAAAGCGCATGAAAGGAACTAAGAGGAATTTTAATGGGAAGAAAACCAGAAGGAGTATAATATGCTCCCATGAATGCAGCTCTTTTCTAAGAGCTTGACCATCAGGTAAGAACAAACTTCGAAATTTCTCAAGGAATAAGAAAGAAACAAAATATGGCTCCACAACTGTGGCATAGCGTAGAATCAGCTGTTTTCCTCAGTGAAAGCAATTTAATTAGAACTTTGAAGTACTAATGATAATATAAAGCCTTACTTACTAGCTGTTCTCCGCTTATTTGAACTAAATAGCGAGAAGAACCAATTTGAATCGGAGGCTGGTATATTTGAAAGATTTTTCTCATCGGTCATGGGTAACCTTGAGGAACCTTGTCAGTCAAATGCAGGTAAGCTTGAAGAATTCTTTGAACTTTCTTGCCGATGAGTACCAAAAAATTTTCGGAACAAACTGAAACCATTTCCGGCCAAAATAATCAGATTATTAAGCTCTTGCGGATGATGGGCACAGAATATTACTTCCATATCAATTTATAGTTTTGTACATGTCATCAGGAAAGAGTATGTAATTTTGTGCACAAAATCTCAACCTTCACCTGCATGAAGGATCTATCTATTAGTCAAAGACTTCACCTACATGATATGTTGCTGAGTAAAGATAATCATTTACTTACCTGTAGGGATAAAATATCTGAAGCATGATAAGCATCTGAAGACTTCTGGTTCTCTTTCATGACTATAACTATCAACAGGTGGCACTTCTCTATCAATATGAGTTGCGATTACTTCATCACTTTGGTTGGCTTCATATGCAAAATCATCAACCGGCTTGGAGCTAACTACAGTATCAAACTTGTCACGCTTTGCGTTAGGATCTAAATCTTGAACTCTCCGTTTTCTTTTTCTGAGGATGACCTTTTGGTAATGCAAGACTTACAATTAGGACAAAACAAATTATGGGACTCTTGATTGGCCAACACTGCCTCAACATCTAGTTCTCTGACTCTCTGTCAAAGTCTTCTATCAACTCAGGATCTGCTTTTGGACTGGTTTCATCGTCTAAATGTTGGACAGTTTCAGCGTTCACTTCAGATGAATTCTGTAAATGCGATGATTGTGAATCTAAAGGGCCTTTGTCCTCCACAGTTTTCACGTGTTGATTGTTCACACCATTGAATGGAGTGTTTTGAATATCTGGGTATCAATTCACGAAACAAAATCTCCATATTTCTCGGGAATTCCAGCACTAAGTGAAAATGTGCATTGACGGATCATTTGAACAAGGGGGAAGACTAAAGAACAAGGTTTCATGTACACATTCTAGCAAGAAACAATATAAAAAATCCATAAACTAAAAGGAAGCAAGAGAGAGTTAATTATGTACCTTCTTGATGCCAAAGGAAGCAATATCTTTACTCTGCAATAGAACAATACTAGTAGTGCGAGTCATGGCATCAACACCTGTTGCTGCGTCCTTTACTTCTTCATCAGTACAGTGATGTTTGTGTTCACTAATGGTATAGTTGATCTCTGAAACTTCATTCTCTTTCTGTATAGAATGTGGAGAAGACGAAGATGTTCCCGCCCCCCCGCTCGCATTCATTTTATCGTCCTTGAAACGCTGTGAGGATTTCCTTCCTTCTAAAGCGGCCTCTTCCATTTCTTCTTCTTCTTGTACTTCCCAACGAGAGTGCTCTGTTTCAATATGTTGCTCCATGATGTTGTGTTTGAACTTGGAAGGCAGAACGATGTGATTTGAATTCTGTGTGGTGAGAGGGATTGAAATGACGATTTTTTTTGGTAACAGATTGAGATGACGAAATTTAGACTTATGATTTATGAACCTTTTGATTTTCTATCTTGTCTTTCCATTAAATTTGCAATTTTAAATGATACAAATCTGAGAACTCCAGCTAAAACTGCTGGTCACTGAGAAGTTTGGTGGCAAACATTAATTATCGATGGACAGCTATAACAGCCTTGGAGAAACAATATGTTATTTTTAGACATGATCAATGTTTTATTGACATTTCTTTTGGTGTTGCGTAATTTTCTTAATTTTTTAACCAAAGGAAATTCAATATATCAACAAAATACAGCAAACAACCACCAGTCCAGGTAACAAACGAACGAACGAAAAAAATATATATATAAATGCCAAAGCACTCATTTATCTTATGATAGATCACCAAAAATTGATTATTGACAAAAAATAGATGGCTTGCTATTAGGACAATACTTTGATTATGGAATATGCATGCTGTAATGCCGATGATGAGTCAATTGGGCATTTTTTCCCCTTAACTTGTGAATGGTCTAAGAAGGTGTTTAGGGACTAATGGTCCTTAATGATGAATGACATATAATTACTTAGCTTTTTCTCTAAAAGGTTTTGTATTAAAATTTTGAAAAAACAGTTACAAATTATTATATAATTAGTAGTAGGTTGCAATAGATGAGTGTTAAATCTGTGACTTGATGTGTGGGAAAACGATAAGATACTTTCATTAATGAGAAGTGGGTATATATACACAAGAGTTTGGAGAAATACATAACAAAATACTAACTGAATCAATTGAAAATAACTTAGCAGAAGCTACACTATACTTGACAAAATCTATATGATAAGGCGGGAAAAGAAAAATCAATATGATAAGGTTCAGCTTGGATTAAAATCTATGTCACAAGTCAACCCCACATGGACTATTATGGCTTCAATTCCCATTTCTGCTATGGGTGGGTCCTGTTTATTGGTATGGGAATGTAATAAAACTTATTATTTATGGTTTATGTATAGTATGGTTTCATGTAGTAACTTATTATTCGGAGGCTTTAAATTAGTTCTAAGCGTGATAGAGCTTTCAGTATGAGCGATGCTCAAGAAAGATTTCGTAACTTCCGCTTGCAGGTTCGGTTACCAAAGCGTGGTCTTTTGCTTTCTACTTTCTGTTTTATGACTTGATTAGTTTCCCCCCCGAGTTCTGACTGTGTTCTCAAAGTGTTGGGATTGAATTAGTATGTCCTTGTCGAGCAATATGCTTGGCGAACTATTTGAGTTAATTGCTCGCAACTGAACAGTTTAACTTCAAGACAATTTCATGGCAATTAGCTTGAATCCTGATATTAATGGTCGGTATGATAGGAATAAGGATGGCTGGGAAAACGTTATATGAAACTGGATAATAAGATTGGTGGATCTCCTGATGAAAGTGAGTAAAATGGAACTTTAAAGCATGTACTCGTTTGCTTGTGCTTATCATGATTTGGAGACGAGTGATATATATGTGCATATAAAAGCAGAGTATATTTGTGATGTGCTGCTTAAGTCTTTTGTTGGGCCTTCTTCAGGAACTTCTTTTGCTTATTCCTGTGGTTTCTATTGTTGAAACATCCAGTGGTACAATATGATGTTTGCTCTAGTTTAATTGATGAATATTCTGTCATATATGCGAGGGAGATGTGTACTTTGGTGTAACTACGCCATGCTCTGCCTTGCTTGTTGCGGTTCGTCTGATCTCTAACGGATGTGTTTGTAGGAAGAATACGATATACATGATGCAAAAGACCCTTCTTCTGTGGTACTACCTCTTCTGAGAACGAGGTCAAAAATCATTGAGATTGTGGCAGCACAGGGCATAGTTTTTGCTCTTGCACATTCTGGTGTTTGGGCAGCATTTAGTGGAGGTATAAATATCATCTATGTCTTATGATATCTAAATATGTTGTTCAATTCTATTTGCATATCAAACTCGATATATGATACACATGGCATGTTTTATTCTTTTTCCTTTCCATTTTGGTTGCAGAAACTAATCAAAGAATATGCTTTCTGAACGTGAGTCCAGATGAAGTTATAAGGAGTCTGTTCTATAATAAGAGCAATGACTCACTTATTACAGTTTCTGTTTATCCTTCAGACAGTTACAGTTCTTTGAAAAGCCGAAGCACAAGGATTGAGTATGTCTAGCGCTTTCTGATTGTTTTGCAAATACCTCCATTTTTCCCCATGCCCACCGGGAAAAAGAGGGAGAAAAACCTTGAGATTCATCAGCACGCATGATAACTGAAAGAACTGTACATGGCAACTGTTGCTTTTGTATCTTGTATTTGCAGATTCTTTGATATATATATAGTTTTTTGTTTGTCCAGCTACATAAGGAGAGGTCAACCAAATTCTGGCTTTGCTCTTTTCGAACCCGAATCTTTGAAGTGGCCGGGTTTTGTTGAGTTTGATGATGTAAACGGCAAGGTTCTCACCTACTCTGTTTCGGATAGGTAAATATTTTATTGTGTAATACTCGCGTGCAAAGATTTAATTATTATTTTGACTTCTTTATCCTAACATTTGCACTTCTTTTGCTGTTTTTGGGCATCTACAAGGTGTTCTATCTGAAAAATTATACGATGTTTTACTCCATTTCTGATAAAAATGTTCAAGAGATTAAGATGAGGTATTCTCTCTTTTATGAACCTGTGAACTTTACTTGCAGTTTCACTTCATACTACCATAGAGATTGTATATTAAGATATTACATTATCTTCTCTGTACTTTGAAAAATCAGTTCTCGTTTTCCATTTGTCTTGGGTGTCCTACTTAATTTGTACTTACTGTGTTCTTTTTTATTGTTCTCTTCATCAGCCCGGGGATCACGTTTGTTGATCTTTGCTAAAGCAGGCAGTCATGTTCCCCTTAAAATGCTCTCAATTGAAGATGGTATTGTTTTAAAATCGTTCAACCACCTCCTTCATCGGAATAAGAAGGTGGATTTCATTGAACAGTTTAATGAAAAACTTCTTGTCAAGCAAGAAATTGAGAATCTCCAAATTCTTGATGTTAGTATTATTCTCTTTTACATGACTGGTATTCATTGATCTGCACACAAGTATCTGAGTTTTAATTTTATTTTAGGTGCGGACATTTGAATTAACAGAAGTTAGTGAATTCATGACACCATCTGAATTTATATTTCTGTATGAGAAACAATTATTCCTGACCTTTCGCACTCGTACTGTGGCTGTTTGGAATTGCCGTGGAGAGCTTGTAACTTCTTTTGAGGATCACCTTTTGTGGCATCCTGACTGCAATAAAAATAATCCGTATATAAGTAGTGACCAAGATCTCATTATATCATACTGCAAGGCTGATTCTGGTGATCCATTGTCTGAAGATAATGGTGACTTTCCTTTTCTCTCTGGGCCTCTTATTTGTTTTTCTGTCATGGCCCTTCCCCCGGTAATGCACTTTCTGTGATGCAAAGCACTGTTGAGAAATAGCTTGAAACTGAGGATTGTAGCTTATCCATCGGTTGGGAAAGATGATCCAACGAAATTTGTCAAATGCTCACTGCACACGCCAAATTTTAAATCATGACACTGACAAGCTCTTTCTCATTAATGCAGAAGGGTCCATTAATGTCAGC